CGCCTGCCTGCCGGGCTGCGGCTCGGCCCCTCTCCCAGCGCCTCCGCGCGCTCTCCGCCCCACCCCCAACGCGAGTTGTTGTGTGTTTTTCCCTCTAATTCTGCGGAGTTACTCTTTTGTTGCCAATTGTTTCTATGCCCCGAGGCCACGCTGTAAATGAGATGTTACATCTGCACCGAGCTAAGTAAACACTTTATAAATGAATAAATAAGTGAATAAATAACGAAATAGTCATCTCGGGGACAGCGGGCTGCCAGGGCGCTGGCCCGCTGGTCTGTGTCCATCCGGCACCCAGGCCTCTGGCTGCGGGGAGGGGAGTTGAGAGCTGGGACCTGTCTCCTCTCCCCTCGGTGGTGATCCAGCCCGCCCTGGCTGGGTAAAAGCGTCCCTCCTCAGTCCCCCTTTCCTCCACCTCCCAAATTTTCCTCCCAGCTCGGTGGCATTTCCCGTCCCCCGCCCCCCCACCTCCCACCCCCATTTTCCCAGATGTCAGTTTGGGAATCATCGCTTCCACTCACTGCTTTACAAACACAAATGGATTGTCACCGAGGCTCTTAACCCTGAGTTTGCCACCAAACTCAGGGACGGCAAAGTAGCTCTGGGTGGCCCCAGGCAGTGTCCAGCCACCGAGGTTTGCCTGCGGTGCTGCCCCAGGACAGGGCTAGGGGGCCTTGCACGCGTGGCCAGGAACCGACAAACTGTCAGGTGCAGGAAAAATATGGCTGGGGAGGCGGTGGCAGCCAGAGCCCCCCACCTCCCTGCCCTCACCCCAGCTTGCCAGCGTGCAGAAAAAACCAGGCGGGCCTCCACCACGCGGCAAATCTCAACTCTGAGCGAGGCCCAACTTCGCAATTACCAGGGGTAACAAGAACAAATGGAAAAGCACTCAATGAGTAACTGATATCAATTATGAAGCCGGCTTTAGAGTCTGGAATAAATGATAGGATGGCCTGAGAGAGAAGGGGAGCAGACATGTTATTATTTACGCCAGATTAAGGAAAGTATCCAATTTGCTGGCCATCTCACTTCCCGTGGGAACTGGCATCAATTTTATTATTGTTCCTCCGATTTTAATATTCTCTAAATGAATTACTATCGAGCGAGGTAGTTAGTCAATAGTTTAATGCAATTAATTATCTTTAAATCACTCTTATCTTTTTTTTTTTTTTTTTTAGATTCTTAACTCCAGCGGGCAGCTGTCTACACGAAACTTGAGAGTGTGGTTTTGGGGGCTGGGCAGGGACCCGGAGTGGACTCTGGTGAGGGGTTTTCTGGTCCCGAAGCAGGGCAGCCTTGGTCCCAAATGCACAGAATCCCAAGGTGCAGGCAACTCAGGGACACCCTCAGAGTGGCTGAGCCTGCGAGAGGCCAGGCAGGCCCAGCACAGTGGGCTGGACACTAGACACAGGGCGTAGCCTGGGCACCTCCTGCCACAGCCTGAGCCTCTGTATTTGGTTTTGCTTGTTTGCTTGTAGTTTAAGTAGATCAGGGGGAAAAAATGAAACTCAC